TTCAAAGCACTTTCATCGTGTACCAAACAGATTTAATTCGAGAATTACTTTTTCGAAGTACTTCCTATCGTATTGTCGTACTGACATTAAATACGCTTATGACAAATAAATACTTGTTTTACAACTTTTATGAGCGGCGTTATACGCACCTTGTATTGAAAGAATCACTTTGTATAAAACATTTTTATAGATTGCAAAATAAATTTATATGTAATAATTTATATGTAATTATATAAGACAAAATTATAAGTTTGTATAATATATTAAATCAAACTTGTTAAAAAAGTAGATATAATAATTATATGTAACGCTCATAAATATATTAAAATAAATAAGTTGAAATTACAGATGTTGAAATAACAGATTTAATAAGAGATGTTTTATATCTGAATCAACATAATTTCTAGTAAATAGTATTATTTTAATTACATATATATATATATATATATAAAATTGCCTGTAAACGATGTACACTCGAGCGAATATCGGATTGTCGAGTACATCTTTAGATTTAACAGGAATGAAGGAGGGATGATGAAATCGGTCGTTCCCGGGTTCGTTTTGATAAGGAAGAGCATCATCCCTATCCCAAGGGTCGGGAACAGGAGGATGTACGAAGAGGGTGAGAGAGACAGAGAGGAGGAGAGAAAATGGCGGCCCAGAGGGAAATCCGACACCAAATCGAAGGAGACGCCATCGCAAAGCGCGGCGCCGCCCCTTTATCATTGGGTCTTGGCTTCGGCACGATGTCATCCTCGAATCCATAAGCTCGAGCGTAATCAAATCGAAATAATTTTCATAATTTTCCTTGCACTTCATACACCTAAAAATTCCTTTTCTTGATTGCACAGTGACATTAATTAAAAGGTTGTATAGCTTATAATTAATACTGTTGTAACAAGTAAAATTTATTTTAAAAATAAATAGCGAATCCAGAATTAATTGCAAAATATAAAGAGCATTTTAAGCGCTATTGACATATTGAATTAGTAACGAAATATTTCCCTTTTATAATTAAATTATCTTAGTTTTTATATTTCGAATAAATTTTTTATTTAAAATCTGAGTATCTTTTACCGTTCCAAAATATGTTACGCTACGTCGATCAACATACATGACAAATGGCAATTAGTCGAAAAAGGCGGAGCAGATTCAAAGGATTGGCAAGGCGTGCCGAGGAAAAACGTCTTCACTCATCTACTAGTGATGCATCGGTTCTCTTGATCTATATAACACCGCCAGACTTTTCGACCACCAGATTTTCGTCATGTGACATTCTAAATTTGTGTTGCTATTGCTTTTACTTAATAAATCTTTTGATTAAATCAAATAAAAGCGATAACAAGACAAATTTAGGATGTCATAATATCAATATATTTTTACGCGAGAAAAAGAAAGAAGAGAGAGATTCATATTATTATATCTTATATAGTATATATTTTAGAGGATATTTTAAGTTTTATTAAGCATAAAGTAAGTAGTATATTTAAACCCAAAAGTAGAAGATAAAGACATTACATTTAAAAATTATAATAACATGAAAACATGTATTTTACTTAGTATTAGCAAAAAAATGGCTTTAATATAATATAATAAAATCAAATAATTTCAAATATTTTATCACAGATTCAGTTAAATCGTGCATAATAACGCGTGACGTAAGATTTCGTTTAATTTATGAAATGGAGATAAACGATTGTTACATGTGTACGTAAGATACGTAATGGTAAACGATATACGCAATCGTTAAATAAAAAATTCGTTTAAAATAATTATAATGCAGATAAATTATTTGAAACAAATTGATATGTTTATTAAATTATTTTTATTTGTATTTTAGAAGTAAAATATTTTACGTACACTTAAGTACCACACACGTATATGTCATGTTCAACGACAAGTTCTTGAAAATATAGTATATTTGACAATAGTTGATTCAATTAAATCATGCATGATATAAGACGTGATGTAAGATTTCATTCAATTTATGGAATGGAGTTAAACGATCAAAATACATGTGCACAAGATACGTAACGATAAACGATATACGCGATGGTTGTGAATGAACGAAACCGATCCTTGGGCGTGTACGAGTTCGTATTCGGACCGATCTACAGCTAAAGTTACGTTTGTCGTTGGATCATATTTGCAGAAATGTGTATCATAATACGACTCCAGAGATGAGCCGGCGACCTTCGCGAGGGGGTGGAAATCTTATCGCGAAAAGTAAACACTCTAAAAAAGTGATATCTGCCTTCTTCAATCGTCACATCAACTTTTCAATCATTCGTCACATCGAAAATCTGTCGATATTACTCCAAAATCTAAAACAAAAATTAGCATAATAAATTACTGTAAGAAACGTACAATTTAAGACGATGTAATAAATAACTCGACAATCGTTTTATATAATTTATTTATATTTCAATATATATATTATATTAAAATATATTTTTTTTTATTTTATTATAGATATGCAAATTATGCCGCAAAAATTGTAAAGTTATATCTTCAAGTTTTATGTATTATCATGCGTCTTATATCGAGCATTTCGTGTATTAAATTGTCCAAAATGTAACGTTTAAATAATTCATAAACAAATTTATGACGGATTTCCTTTCGTCAAATCTACCGACGAAGGGTGAATTGCCAGTTGTTGTGAAATTAATCAAACACAAGGTACGATAGCGTCGCGTGGAATCACAACATGGTGTACGGTAACGTTGACACGTTCCATTTCCGGTGTTTATTGGTTACACGCGTATTTCGTGATTCTTCGATAGCTTCGCGATAGTGGAAAACAGTATCTGCGCGAAAAATTTGCACAAAAATTGCTGAATATTGTAAATTGGAAGCTACACGATAAAGATATAAATAAAATAAAATCTTTGATAAGCAAATTTTTGCTGTCTACACGCTTCAAATTTTTCTTTTAAACTTAAAGTAAATTTAACAAAAAACGAGCAAAATAATGAAAAAGCAAGTTTTCACCGATTGATAGATTTATTTTCAATTATCATTTCGAGAATATAATTACATCTATAGAAACATACGAGTTTTATTAAGGCTATTCAACATGAGAAAGCAAACATATAATTCGAGACTGGAGTGTGAGACCAAGGGGAAAGCCCGATGCACAATACCATAATTCGTCACTTCAGTTACATAACAAAAGAAATTACGCGAGTCCGACTCGAGAAAGGAATCGTCGAAATTCGATATATCCAGGTAATCGGTCTGTCGCGGAGGTCGCCAGGTGAGAATTCAGCGCGGAGGAATCGGAAGCGTCGCGGGGCCGGCGGCAACTCGGATGGGGTGAACAGTCGGTAGGGGGTAGAAGCTTCGCACCGCCCTCTAATTTTCTAACCAATGGAGCCGAGCTGTACGTCGCGACGACCAATCGCAGCGTAGTGGCCGTGCCGTGCCTGATCATTGCACGGTTCTGCTGCCGAAATAAAAGAGAAGGCCGACCAAGAGATCAAGGAGGGAAAAGGAGAGATGAGAGAGAGAGAGAGAGAGAGAGAGAGAGAGAGAGAGAGAGAGATGGAAGAAGAGAACGAGTAAAAGAGAGAGAGATAGAACGATATCGGCAACTCCATCGTCAGCATTGCCACAAGGCGCCCACACGACCACAATTCAACGACAGAATTGCCAGCGGGACGACGGCTGTCGCACCGCGAACGCGACGACCGTGATCACCTTACTAACTTGGTGACTTGGTCACTCAGTGAGATAGTCTGCCGCGGTCAAAGGCATCCTGCTGAGGAGTTATCGGTTATGCAATCGGTTGTTTGTTCGCGCGATCGCCTATTGACTGCTTCATAGTCTCACTGTTCTCCAACGTAAAAACGGGGGTGGTTGCGGGACACTTGAGACTACGAGTGATCTCTACAGGAGATCTGCAAGTGCATTGGTACCACGCTGTGATGTGTTTAAGAAGAACGTCCAGATACATTCTTTCTTTTCTTATAGTGCATTCAATGCTTTCGCTACGGGTGATCTATCATTAGTCACGAAGTGGTTAGTCACAAAAATTAAGAACTCAAGCAGTGGTATTTGGAGAATGTGTACCTGATGGCGAATAAACGAACTGATAATTGGTATCTTTTTTGGAAAAGCCTTCTCGGAGGATTATTGTGGATGTGAGAAGTATTCCATTATGATTACATAATTTATTACGAACAGTCGCCGAAATTAAAGAATTTAAACTTGATTTCAGACGCCGTCGGAACTCAAGTTCAAAGTTATTTGCTTACAACGCGGTAATCAAACACGATTTTGAAGAACAAATAAATAATCATATACGTGACGGAAAATTTTAAAATTATTCACGAAGAACAAATGATTTTCATTTATAGAATTGTATTTGTTTATAAGTGCAAATATTTTTAAAAAATTATATTAAAAACTGAATAATAGTCACCAGAATGGATTGAAAAATAATTACGAATTCGCTATTTTTCTGCGATAAAGTGTACAGACCATCGAATGTATCGGTGAAAGTGTACAGTGATTGTACTTGGAAAAAAAATTTTTTTTCACAATTAAAATTTGCGAACAATTTTTGAAACAGTGCTTAAAGTATGTTACAGCTTCATTTGAGTAAGTCTTGATGAATGGAAATGGAGTCGGACATCGACATGAATGAAACGCGCGTGATTAAACAACCGTCGCGTTGACTCGAACGTGCGAATAACGGATGCTTACTTTCGTCATCAGTTATTCATCCGGTCGATCTATAAGACATATTGATATTACGATGATGTTCCAATTTGACGAATGACAAAAGCGGGAAAATAAGTTTCTCGTTTCCTTTAATCCCTAAACTAACAATTTCACTATAAAAATTCTGCAGGCGATAGAAAATTCAGAGGTAAGAATGTATGGACAACGAACAAACATTTATTGAAGATGAAATATCTATATAATAAAATAAATCAAATATATTATGCTCAAAATTACATGTAAATTTTTCGCGTATAATTAAGACGAGTTGAGTAACGAATTATTAATTTTTCACAATATTTAACAATTCGTAATTCGGTTTGTAATTCAAGATGCGTGATCTTTGAATTAATTTTAATAAGGAGTCATGTAAGAAGTTTGCGTCTTCGAAAATTTTTCGCGCTTAGGACGAATGAGCACGGAATCTTGTTTGCTGTCCGACACCTGCATGGATTCATGAGAGGCACGCAGTCACCAGCCAAGGATGTCGGATAGTTCAGATCAGCTGTCATCACCGAACAGCGACTGCAATAGTCAAATGGGCGTCGTGCATCGCAATGCAACCGCGCAATATAGTAACACATCGTCAATGTCCGGTCTCGGGCTGGCTCATCATCCCCAAAATTTAACGCCGACATCGAATGGCAGTCCTCAGTATTCACAGGAGATTTCCACATGCAACTCTGCTAGCGTAAACACCAACATCAGTAATATCAGCAGTATCCCCCTTAGCAGCAGTAATTTCACACCTGAACAGATATCTTGCATGTGCGAGGCACTGTCACAAAGCCAAGACATTGAGAAATTATCCAGGTAATTTAAAGAGAGCGTGCTTTAATTCATTATTTATTTATTCAAAAATTATGTGCGTAAGATATTTTTAACAAATTCTGTTCTTGCGTTATAAAATTCGAAAATTATATAAAATTATATTTGTGTGAAATCTACTTAAAAAACTACGTTGATACCAGATTTCTTTGGTCCTTACCGCCTGGAGAACTGTTGCGCGGAGGTGAGAGTGTGCTAATGGCGCGTGCCGCTGTTGCCTTTCACCGCGGAGCCTATCACGAGCTTTACTCAATCCTGGAGAGCCACCCTTTCTCGCCACGTCGACATCCCGAACTCCAACAGATGTGGTTTAAGTCGCATTATCGCGAAGCTGAGAAAATCCGCGGTCGACCATTGGGCGCCGTGGACAAGTATCGGCTG